AAATGTATGTTAGGAAAAAAATTATATTTACTACATATTAATTGCTTTTAACTAATTCTAACTTTTTTGAACTGTGTAATTTAGTTAAAAAAATTTTATAATAAAAAACAGGGTAGTAATAATATAATAATAGAAAAGTGGAGTATCCTAAAAAATTATTTTGGTGGAGACTTTGACTAAATTGACTTCTCAAAGGATATTCATGTTTTTAAATCTGAGTATTGTTCAGTATCAGCCCATCTCTCGACGCCGCTCTGCCTAACCTCTTACATTCAGATCTCAGAATCTCTTCTATTTTCTCTTCAAAACAACAGAGAAAACGAGGGCAAGAATACATAATGTGTTTATTTTCTATTCCTCCGGTTTTAAATATAAAATCTTTATACTAACGTGTATAAAGATATTATATTTAGGATTGAAAAAGTATTTCTATGGTTGTATTGACTTCCACAGAGCTCAAGCTTTTTAATGGCGATTTTCAATGTTCGGAGTCATTGTGTGTATATATATATATATTTGAATCTTGTAACTTTTTAAATTAAATATTTCATTTTAAAATTTGTAAAATTCGTAAGACTTATTTCTGTGAGTTGTGTGTTTCTTTGAATCATGATTTGTGTTTGTTATTGTTTTTCCTCCCTTATTCGAATCACACTAAAAAAAAAAAGGAAATTGCTAGAATACTTTTGATTATGTTGGTAATATTATTGATAATTTTAATAGTTTAAGACTATAAAATTCACCATAAAAATGTTCATTCACGCTGGACTTGTTTGGGGTGTGCTGTTCGTGCTTTCTAGTGAAGGTGCTTAGATGGAATCAAAACTATATTTTTAAAAATATTTTTATAGTATATAAAATAAATATGTGAAGAAGTTTATGAGCTGTTTGGATCAGCTTATAAGTAGCTTTTTAATCGTAATTTACGGAATACGAGACATATATCTGAGAAATTTTTTTTCTTGACTTACGTAAAACGTGTTTATAAGATATTTTTACCGCTATTCTAAACAGAATAAAAAAATACTTTTAAAAAATATTTTTTATGACAGCGAGCACTCTCTTGGACTCTGAAAAGTTTGTACACCCACAATACTATTACTCTAAATTAGTACCTCCGAGCAACACTCAAACTGGCGCTTTTCGGCAACTTTCCCTTCAATAGTGCTATATTTATTCCCTTTCCCCTCTTTCGTGTCCTCCGTTTTCTCGGCTCCTCAAATGCGTAGCCTGCTCAACGCTGAAATGTTAAAAAAAATTAGCAAATATACATTATGATATTTCTTTTATAACTTTAATTATAATATTTTAGGAATATTTTCAATTATAAATATTTGAATTTGTTTTTGAAAAAGGAGAACTGGGAAATGCATATTTATTTCTTGCCCATTAAAAAATACGCATTCAGAAAAAAAGGTGAATTGTGAAATGCATTTTTTCCGGTATATATAGTTTTAATTATAATCTTGTAGGCATTATATTTTTAGCATTTGGTTATTAGAATTTAGAAGGCTAATTTGTACCATCTAAATCCTTATATTTATTATGTTAAGTTCTACAAATAACGATACATCTTGACTATTTTTTTATGTGGGTTTATAGTTTATGATAATATTGAAGAAAAACTTGATATAATAAACATAATGAAGTGGACTTAGGTATTGTAAATAAACAACATTTCAATCAAGATGAATTGTGAGGTTGCAGGTTGATGAATTTTGGAATGCTAAAGCCAGAAACAGTAGTGGAAAGAGAAAGCTGTTTGAGGAAGTCTTTGAAAGAAAGGAAAGATGGTATCCGCCTAATGCAGGTTCAATCAAGATAAATGTTGATGGATCTTTCAGAGAACAGACAGGGGAGGCTTCTATCGGAGTGATCTGTAGGGATGAGGAAGGGGGCTTCAAGGGGGGATGTGGTAGAAAGGTGGAAGCTTCCTCCCCTTCATGGCGGAGTGTCTAGCGGTGAAAGAAGCACTGCAGGCAAGAAACAGATTTCCTGATCAAAAGATTGTTGTGGAGTTAGACTGCGAAGTTCTATTTCGGCTACTGAAGAAGAATTCTATGGCTGGCTGTGAGTGGAAGAGCGCTGATCTGCTAAAGGAAATCTTAGATCTAAAAGAGTCTTTGGAGGGTGTGGAGTTTTCCCTTGTTGCGAGGCAAGGTAACAAAGCTGCTGACTTCTTGGCAGCTAACGCAAAAAAGGAGATGAACCAAATGAGTTGGCTGGTGGTGTTGTCATCTTCTTTAGGCGAGCTGGTAGCCCGTGACTCTGACAGATATGGGATTCCTGAAGCTGGACACAGTGCAGACTTCAAGAAGCAGGGAATTGGTTAATGACTTTGGCGCTTTCACGCCTCGTTAGTGCTGTTCCTTAGCTTTAGTGGCTTTCTTTTTTAGTGTGGTGTTGTCTTTCTTTTGTTTTTAGTGGCTTCGTCGGGTGTGTAGCTTGGGTTTGGGAGTTCGTCTATTCTTTTGCCTTTTGACTTTGCTTTTGCTCCTTGTTCTTTACTTCTCAATATAAGTATCTTTTCGGCCAAAAAAAAAAAAACTGCATTAACTTTGATTTAAAATCTAATAATTTTTCAATTTATCTTAAATTTTTTCACAATTTTTTTATTTTTATTTAATATTACTCATTTTAGGAAAATAACAGTCTACCCAATAATAAATAAAAACTAAAATAAGATATTCATATAAAAAATTTAATAATATGACTTATTAATATAAAAGATTTTATGTAACTTATAAATAAGATTAAGAAGAAAATACTCCTCTTATGATAAGACTCTTAGGATAAGAGTCTTATCCTACTTTGATATTTTTGGGAAATTTAAATATTCCGCGTGCTTCACGGAGATCATGTCCTCATGCAGAGCACTCTTTGCTTTTGTTTTTAGTGTGTCTTTAAATTATTGAACCAAGGGGGGGACATTACAGCGCATAATAATTAATGAAAGATTTTGAATCTTGACTCATTATAAATAGATTTTATAAACATTTAGTATTTATTAGCAAAAGCCTAGCGTGACAAAAGAAGAATTATTAAATGTTACCCCCCAAAAAAATTATTGAAACTTTAATATAAAAAAGATAGCTTCTGGTGGCTACAGTGAAAGAATCTTGATTATTATCGCACTCTCTGTGTTCTTCTTCTTGTGTTCCTCAAATTCCTGCGTCTGCTTCTCAGTTTGATGTGCTCTTTCTGGTTTCTATCTCTCACACTTCCATGCACTTTCTCTTTCGTTGCTCCTTTTGCTCAGCTTATTTATGCTCTCTGCCTTCATAAAACAGAAGCACATTTCTCTGTCAAAAATCTTTGAAGTCGTTGAAGAAAGAAGGCAAGAGAAACAAAAAGAAGGTAAAATCTTCATTATTATTGATAACTAATCTTGTGAGTTTAATTATTAGTACTAAATTTCACTCTATATGTCATCATGTTTATTTTTTGCAGGACTTTCTTTGGGCTTTGCTATTTGTGTGTTCTATATTCATCAAAATATTTCCTTCTACTCTTATTTTCATTCATAGCTTCATGTGCATTCAACAAACAAATTTTTTAAAAAAAAGGTAAGAATGCATTTTCATTATGTTCTTATGCCAGTAGTATATTCTAATTAGTAATTATGTTTATAATGCTATATATACTGCCATGGCTGTTCGTCCCTCGTTTCTTTATTTTATTTTTAATTTTTAATTTATTTTATATCTATATGTGTGTATATGACAAAGTATTCAACATCAGTTAATGAAAATGTTTTAAAAGTTTAATCGAAAAAAGAATCCTAAGCCAATAGCACTTGATATAGTGGGGAATCAGCTAGAATCTCATCTTGTTAAAAAGAAAAAGACTTGGAGGGAAGCAATTTTTTTTTTTGGGTACATTGGAGAGAAGCATTTTCATCAGATCACAAAGCCTCGATTTGGATTAGTTGGTTGTTTAAATATCTGCAAATAGGATTCCCAAAAAAATAAGTTCTACACACTGGGTAGCCCAAAGGATATAAAACAAAAACAAAAACCGTGAGCCTCGAGGCTTGTCAGATCAAGAGGACTTGTATGTGCTTAGTTGTTGTGGAGACTAGAAGGAAAACCAGCCCAACTAAAAGTTGCTCCCTGATAAATTCTACTTGAGCTTCTTCAAATGTCATCTCTTTTGTTTTTATTTTCAAGGATGAACAAATTCTGATTCTAACTATACTTTTATAATTGTTGCCTATTTCTACACATTTTGTTTACTCTTGTACGTTTGCTCTGGTTATTTCTGCTGTCTATAATGGAGTTGTAAAAATTAATAACATTTTTTTTTAATTTCAAATTCACCGGACTTGTTTAAGGTGTTTCTGCTCAACTTTTTGTGTGCTCTAGCTTTATGGGATTTCTGTCTCAAACCCACAAAAAGATAAACAAAAAAAGAGAGGTAAGAATAATACACTCAGATGAGTACTACCTTCAGTCCTTAATCAGGTTTTAACCGATCAACCTATCCACTATCCCTTGTACCAATTTTTTTAGTCTCTGGGGCCAACTCTTTTGGTTGGTAGGATTCATATATTCTTTTGTTCTGAGTTGAAAATTTCTTTTATTTTCTCTTGTTTTCACTTTGAAACAGCACTGGTTATTTTTATATTGTGTTTATGTTTTTATTACTATTTCGGTATTTCCCTTGCATATATCAATTCTATTCGTATAATTATAAGTTTAATTAGTACTGAATTTCATTATGTAAGTCTAACAAATTCTACTTGAGCTTCTTCAAATTTTATTTTTTTATTTTTATCTTAATTATATGTTCTTAAACGAAAATTCACAAAATAAAAAAGGAAGTATGAATATATTCTGATTATAACTATACTGTTAAAATCCTTGTCTATTTCTACATATGATGCTTACTCTTTTCCGTTCGCTCTAGTTATTTCTGCTGTATATAATGGAGTTGTAGAAATTAACAATTTTTTTTTAATTTCAAATTCACAGTCACAAGGCTTGTTTGATCTGTTGCTGCTTGGCTGTTTGTGTGCTCTACATTTCTCTGAATTCTATCTCGAAAAAAAAGAAGACAAGGCAAGGATAATATAATCAGATTTTGTTTATCCTGAGTACTAGTTTTTCTATCTGTCTTCTTTCTGTAAATTAAATAAAACAAAATGAACTAAATCAGTGAAGTAAATTAAATCAAAATGAATTAAGTTAGTGATTAAACAAACTTACCTAAAGTTCAGGATCTTCCTTAATCTCACAAACTATCTACAAGTCTCTTGATCAAGGAAAGCGTTTTTCCTTAACTTGGATTAATTTTTATTTTTCTTGTCTCCTTGAATGTATGGCCGGCTCAGCAAAAATACAGAAGAACGTTGAAGCGTTGTATGGAAAAAAGAAAACAAGTAAAAAAGTTATAATTCTTACTGTCTTTCTTTCCCTCTTGTATGAATATTGGTATTCTTATTTGCATTTCCTTCCGTGTTTAGTCTTTCATATGCTTTATCTGTTATAATACTCAGATCAAAACTTCTATTTAGTTATTTTTCCAGTTCGGATTATTATTTATTAGATTTTAAACCATTTAAAATAGGTACTACTATAATTTTATTTTTTTAAAAAAATTGATACTTCTTTTCACTCTCGATTTTTGTTTGTTCTTCTTTTTCATCCATTATTCAGTTTACAATAAATTAAAAAAATGAAATTACAAAAATATTTTTGATTATGTTTGTGATATTAACATTTCCATCATTCTTCCATTAAATTTAATCTTTTGTTGCTCCCTCACCTTATGGTACTCATTAAGTATTATTGATAATTTTAATAGGTTAAAACTATAAATTTCATCCTGAAAATGTTCATTTACGCAGGACTTGTTTCAGGTTTGCTGTTCGTGCGTTCTAGTGTACCTGTTTTGGCTCCCATTTATAGCTTCGTCCATCTTTCAGGAAAAGAAAAGGCAAAAAAGAAAGGTAACAATACATTTAAATTGGGAAAAACTGCTGAAAAATACTTGTTTAAAAATTTTATTGCCCTAAAGTACCTATACAGAAAAGCATCAGTACTCTGAAAAGTTTATACACACATGATAATTGAATGTAATTGAATGCTATCGGATCAAAACAACCTTAAAACAAAAGATCTCAATCATCATCCACCTTCTCTCTTGAAAAAAGGAGGAGGTTGATCAAAGATGCAAAAAGTATCCGCCATATTGTGGGAAATCTTAGCAAAATGATCAGCTAAGGCCAGATCTCTAAACACATGCATGGTTGATCTAGATCTGCCACTCCCTAAGAATCAAAATCCTAATGTCATTGTTAACAATATCACTTCAGAAAATAGTTTCATTTCTTTGAAAAAATTCATTCTATCAGTTCGCCTTCCATTGCTCAAACTTTTGCATTCTGCTTTTCAATTTCATAACCAAAATACAGAAGCCGAAAAGGAGAGTCTCCGACAAAGAACGTTGGAGTGTCTTTTAAAAAAAAGCAGGTAAAAAATTTATAATTCTCACTGTGTTTCTTTTCCTCTTGTATGAATATTGGTATTCTTATTTGCATTTCCTTCCATGTTTAGTCTTTCGTTTGCTTTATCTGTGATAATATTTAGATCAAAAATTCTATTTAGTTATTTTTCCAGTTCAGATCATTATTGATTAGATTTAAAACCATTCACATTGAATATCTTAAAATAGGTATAATTTTACTTTTTTTAAAAAAAATTGATACTTCTTTTCGCTTTAATTTTTGTTTGTCCTTCTTTTTCCCCCATTATTCGGTTCACAATAAATTTGAAAAAAAAAACGAAATTGCTAAAATACTTTTTATTATGTTTGTGATATTAACATTTCCATCATTCCTTCATTAATTTTTTTTTTTTGGTCAGAAAGTACGTCGTATTAAAAAAGTAAACCAGTACACCTCAAAGTTCCTAGAAAAACAAAACGCAAAAACAGAGAAAACAGAGAACATAAACTGGAAAACAACTCTTCCAACACCAAAACAACAACTAAAGAGAAAAAGCAAAACAGCAATTTCTGACGCCAAGGTAGCTCTGGAACTTTTCCGTGACAGTAGAGAAGATAAGCATGGCAGCATAGAAGATGAGCACTAGGTAAATATCCATCAAGAGAGGCCAAGAACAAAGCAAAAGAAAAACTGGGATTGGGGGGCATAAAACCCAACCATAAAGGCCACAAAATCAAAGAAGCCAAGTTACGATACTGAGCAACAATTTCCAGAAGAGATATGTGCTCAAGAAAGAAGCTCCGCCAATCACAGCTTAGCTGAGCATAACAAAAAAGAACTAGGAGCTTTTTGTCCTCTTGATTTCCAGTCGACCAGTAACCCATCATCAAAGCCACAGGAAACACATCCCCTACTCTCATTTCAGAACCATCAGCCCTAACAATTACCCTCACTTGTTTCTTAGAATCAAACAAATAATAAAGACATCCAGGTGGCACCCAACGTGCATCATCCTTAATTTTTAGCATATCTCTTCTGAATGCCACAAAGAAGCTTAACTTGCCACTAAATTTCCAAAACTCCACAACTTCAACAAAGCTAACTGCAGGAAACACAGTTGAGCCCAAAAAAACACCACCTCTGTCAATGGCAATCCTATCTTGAGAGAAGAAAAAGCTAAAGCCCCATTTAACCTTTAAGAACACTGCGGTAAGCACTAGACGAACTAAAGCCAGAGATTCAAACCAGTGAAAATTGTATCTAACCAGATCCTTCGTTACAAATTCGCACATATATCTCATATTCCAAGTACTCCATGAAGCAAAAATCAAAACAAACAGCATAGCACCTATTCCATATCCATCAATCAGACCATTTAGCCCCATGAAGACTACAATAGGGCTAATAGAAAAAAGAGAACCAAAGCATTTTACCTTGTAAATCCAAGACAAAGGATTCCATTCGACCATGTTTACAGCAAGGCACTGCAAAGTTGGTTTTACTCTGAGATTCTTCAATCCGTCTCTCATAGATCTGAATAGATACATTCGAAGAGTTAACCGAGATCCAAAGCTTTCGACAGTTTCACTTCCCAAGCCTCCACCTCTCATCAGCTCTTTTCGATTTTCAGCCTCCTCGAAGGTGCCGAATAACGACATTCTATTATAAGGAAACACCAAATCTGCCAGCAACTCATAGATCACTCCATTCCCCAACCTCTTTCGGCCATGGTAGATTTCTGCATCTTCCATCTTCGATTCTGTCTGTATCTGTCCAAATCTCGCCATCGGTCATCAACACGATGCTTTCTGAGTCTCTAATTAGGTCCATCCACTGATCTTCCTCCTTCACTTCCATAAGCATCGCAGCTTCAGATCTGACCTTCCTCTTAATATCCATCTCCCAAAACCACAGCAAAAACTCTTAACGCATGCACACGCCAACTCACACACACTAGACTCACTCTCCCCCTGCGGCGGCCGGGGAGAGGACGCCGAGAAACAACGCTCACCAGGGAGCGGTTTTGGCTCTCACAGGGGAGAGAATCTCGCTCTCACGGGAGGAGAGAATCTATCATTGTTTTGTTAAGAGAATAGCTTCCGGATAATAGATTCTAAAAAAAATTAGATTTTGTGAAGAATAGATTTTGTGAAAAAGTGATTTTGAGAAGTGTGAGTGTTTGGACAGTTGTTATTAGAAGTACTTTTTATATATACAAATTGGCATAAATTAGTATGATAATTATAGAAAAAATATATTTTATGATATATTTTAATTTGAAGGAATAAAATTGTTAATAATATATTTTTTATTAACATATATTAATAATATATAAGATAATATAATTAATAATTAATTAATATGTATATATATTTATAAGATATAAGATTAAATATGTTTATAAAAAATATGTTTATAAAAAAATAACAAGATATATATCCTATAGGCTCTCACACTCTCCCTTTTTCCTCCAAAAGTAAAAAATTTTTGCTTTTTCCAAAACTATGATTTTAGAGTCAAAACCATGGTTTTAATTTTTTTAAAGGTGTTTGGCTAACATTTTTCCCAAACCATGGTTTGAGGTGCTTGCCAAACACACCCTAAATTTGATCTTTCGTTGCTCACTCTCCTGATGTCATTAATAAATATTATTGATAGTTTCAATAGTTTAAAACTATAAATTTTCATTTGCGCAGGACTTGTTTCGCCCTTGCTATTCGTGCATTCTAGTGTGTTTTTATTTTGATTCATAGCTTCGTGCATCTTTCAGGGGAAAAAAAAGGTAATAATACATTCAAATTAGGAAAAACTGCTGAAAAAAGGTAAGAAAAATGAAGAATTACAATCACATATAAAGAAAGCAAAAATTATCTGAATTAACAATGGAAACAAACGGCACGAATGAAAAACTAAATTGATTATATCGACTTATGTTTACAAAACCTAGCCTGAGAAATGTTAAAAGCTCATTCTGGCAAAAGAAATGTTAACAGCTCATAATTATTCTTAATATCCGCAAATTCTAAATTTTTTAAATTAAATTTGTGAGGATGCCAAAGGTTGTATAGCATTTTTTTATATCTCATACTTGTTAGGTAATTTTTTTATCAACTTTTCTTTTTCTATTACTAATTTTTATGCGTTTACGTTTGGCTGATTTTGCGTTTCACTCCTACTAAGAATCTTTTCATTTTTCTTTTAATCACCTTAGTTTGCGCCAAATTTTAAAAAAAGAAAGAAAAAGAAAAAGAAAAGTGAAAAGGAGGTCTCTTTGTCCAACAACATTGAAATCTCACCAAAAAAGGGTAAGAATATATTATATCATGTTTGATTTCATGTTAATGCTTATATTGTCTTTTGCTATATAACTGGTCTGGGCTATCAATTACGACATGGTTTACAATTTTAATATATACAATCATTTTGAGAATTTTATATTTATAAGATTACTTTTATTTTGCAATTTGCATTATGTAAGATAAGACTTAATGGTTGAAATTTGATGCCTGGGGAAAGAAATTTGTGCTTTAAATTATGCCCAAACCAGCATTAAACATTTTCATCATAAAAAATTGTAAATACTAAATTGTGTGTGTTTCTGATTGACAGATTTGGGTAATAGTTTCTTATTGTTCTCTTCATTGGTTATTCTTCATTGATTTTTTTAAGGTAATATATCTTTATCTTGTTTCTTTTCATGTAATGTTAATATATTTGTGAGACTTTTAGGTTATAACTTTTACCAATGACCATAAAATACTTTTTGTTATTTTCGTACAACAACATCCGTGTTATTTTATCAAAACTAAAAATGAATAATATTGGGAAACAAAGGAGAAGTGTGTAGCATAAAACTTGTGATCCGAAAAATAAAATATATAGAGGACTTTTCTATTACCAATGTATATAATTATCATTTTAAATAAAAAATATAGTTTCTCATTGTTAATAGCATTACGATATTCTTTATTCTTTTGTAATCTCAATATAAGACTTCAATGCTTGAAGACCTAACAAAGGCCATACATAAAGTACTTGTACTATGAAACAAAGTGAATGAGAAAAAAAATCATTATCTTCTTTATCTCTTACTTTTCTTTACACTCTCTAGTTTTCTTTTTTCTTCTCATTTTATAACATAGCTTGAATTTAAATATTATTTTGATACTTGTGGGACCCACATCAATAATTCACCTTGTTGGCCAAAAAAAAAAGAGAAAGAAAAATTGGGGATAAATCAATCATTGAAAATTTATTTGGTAAATGGGACTTGGGATGATTGATTATATAAGGAAAGATTAGTTGCATACAAAAGAAGGTAAGTTGCGCAAAGGAAAAATAGTTTGCACAGAATATTATTAGATATAAAAAATTCGTTTGCATATAAGGAAGATAACTTGCATATAAAAAAATTTTATTTGCACAAAGAAAAATTGTGTTGCACATGGCACAAAAAAAGATCATTGCACATAAGGAAAAATAAATTACACAAAAGAAAAAGTTAAGTCATACATAATAAAAGTTAAGTTACACAAAATTCTTAGATCTCATTTGTCAATTAAATTTTCAACGAGAATTTTATCTCTAATTTTTCCCAAAAAAAAGCCATCTTCTTCATATTAGAATGAGACATGACCTTTATCTTCTAAACTGGGCCCAGGCGTGGCCCTGAAAGATTTTCGTGTTTTGTGTATTAAATTTACCATTGAAACCTTACTTTATTGGAATTTAAGCGCTAAATATTTTGGGACATTTTATAAAATGTTTTGTCCTCCATACTCCATTTAATTCTTTGCCTCATAAAATAATTTCTATAAAATTGTTGGGCCAAATCAATATTTTGATTATTTTCTAACTATTTTTTCTTGAATTATTCAAGAAAATAGAACCTTAATTCTCATATAAATTAGTTTTAAAATTATGTAAGCTATTTTTGGAAAATAGACCTCTTCATAATATATCCAAATCCTCAAATAATGTTAATGTTGCCCCAATTTTCAAGACTCTGAATAATTTTATAAACTATTTCTTCTTTATTTTTTAAAAATTTCATCCGAAAAAAGGTTTTTTGGCCAATAATTAATTTTTTAGGCAATTTAATTTTGAATAATATGTCTAAGCCTTAAATATGTCTTAGACAAGCTCTTTTATCCTTTCCAGATTTTATTGTATAGAATGAGTAATATATATTTTATTTTATATATATTTTGCTAACGTATTATATATATATATATATATATATATATATAAGGCCGTTTTCTTTGCACTGCATAGCTAGATCTTATTCTATATATTACATGTTCAATCATAAAATTTAGCTCAGACAATCATCACAATCAATCACACAAACAACTGAACCAACACAATATTAATATCCAAGTCAATAACTTTGCTACCTTTCCTTTGGTATGACCTTTTTATCTGAAAATTTGATAAATATACATTATGATTTTTTTTGCATAGTTTTAATTATAAGATATGCGTATTTCCTTTTGATCCCAAATGATATTATGTGAAGGAACTAATTTTTAATCACTTTCATCTCAGACTTGTTATATATTTTCTATCAATAATATTTCTCATATAATGAATTCTTTTGCATATTTTTGGTTGGCAGGATTTGAGTTCTTGTATTAATCCAGGGGACTAAAATTTCTCAAAAAGAAAAGGCAAGGATATAATCTAATTTGCTAGTGTTTCTCTTTATTATTTTTATATCATCTTTATGTTTCTATTGTTATTTTCCTTACGCTTTCGAGAGAGAGAGAAAGATATATATATATATATATATCAATTCTATTTTTAAAAAATTAATCATATTTTTAGCATTTTGGTGATGACTTCTATTACTAAGTATGAAGTGTGTCATATATCCAACACACCAAAAGAACAAAAGTAATGTGATATTCTAAAACTTGTTAGACTCTCTTGTCCTAGTCTTACTTGGACTTTTTTTTTCAACCTGTATTACTTCTCTTCTTGCCGAAATATGGGGAAGGGCAACCTTTGGGGCCTGTTTGGATTGAAGATAGGGTGGGGGAGGGTGGAAGAGGTTTTAACCAATGGAATATGAAAAAATAATTATAATTCTATTATATTTTTAGGATATTTGATTTATTTGGATTTATTATCATTTTAGGATTTATTTATATTTATTAGTCGTTTAGTATTTTTATTATTAGGATTAGTTGTTGTTGTTGTTATTATTATTATTATTGCTTTGGTATAATTAGATTTAAGGTTTTCATTCTATGGCAAACTTGATTATTAAATGATGTTGCAGTTATCGTTTTCTCTCGGCTTGTTTCCTTTTCTCTATTCTCTATTTTCCCTTCTTTGCTCTTTCTAATCTCTTCCTTTTCTCTTCCCTCTTCTCGTTTTATATCATCAACCTTACCTTGTCTGGTTTGATTAAATAGGAGGAGATGAGGAATATTTAATGATCTTTTGTTTAATTCAAGAGAGGGAGGAGATGGATAGTAATAATCAATTTATCATTTTACCTTCACATATTAATTTTTATTTTTATTTATATATTACATAAATTAATTTATCTTAATTCAAATTATGTAATTTAATAAAAATACAATATTGTTGTATTAATATCTGTGTTAAACTATTGGTACAGTAAATTTTTATTCTAATTAGCATAATAATTTCTAATTAGCATAAGGAGATGGATAGTAATAATCAATTTATCCTTTCCCTCCAAATCCTCCCAATTTTGGAGGGAAGGTTGAGGAGGGGAGGGGAGAGGAAATTTTAAAAAATTTTCCTTACCCTCCTAAAATTTGTGTGTTGCCAAATAAGGGGAAATGATTCAAATCCCTCTTCTTCCCTCCCCTCCCTCCCAAATCCCTCATACCAAACACACCCTTAAAGTTTACATTTTAAAATTTTCCAGATTCATAAACTCCTCTTTTAAATACGTTGAGGGGTTTAGACTTCAGATTCAACCAAACCTAATTCTCTCTTTTCCAATTAATTTGACCGAAGAAGGGAGGAGAATAAAACTTGGTTTAAATTCTACCTTGAAGCCTTTAGGTGTTTGCTATATTTTAGTTCCCACTTAAATTCTTTAATTTCTTTAAATCCTCACCGGAAATAGGCTTTTTGTCCAATAGTTCATATTTGAGACATTTAAATTTTACATAATATTTTTAAGACTCAAATATGCTTTGGAAATCTCTTTTATACATTTTGAGGCTTCTGTTTTATTGTCCCTATTCCAATTACTTAAATATAAATTTATTACAAATGTGTGTGTTCCAACTGCTTAATGAATTTGACGTCAACTGGGAAAACAAGACACTTATGGTTTTGGACAGGGTAGTGAAGAAACAATATATAATTCCGTTGTGATAAGCATGCTATTTTAAAAACACCAAAAGACATCATCATCGTATTTGATTGATTTCTTGTTACACCAGTTGATTCTAATTTTATGAGGTGGCAAACCTTTAAGAATTTGTTTTAATTTTATCAAGGAATGGGTTGGAAATCTGAAATAAAAAAAATTAGTAAATAATAATATTTCTTTTAACAAAGGAAATAAATAAAGTTACTGTCAAACCTTATTTAGGTTCACTAACTACCTTAGAATCTCAGAAAGGCCAACAATTAAAAACTTTTTTTGCCAGAAAACTATAGGTTCTATCACTAATGCTTTCTTATTGTCGGGATAAGAATTTCTAAAATACTTTAAAAATTCATAACTAATGCAATATAGCTCCAAAAATAGTGGTTCAAAGCTCTAAATTTAGCTCTTGAAAAAGCTTTATGCTCTAACTAATTCTTAACTCCCCCTCCCCAATCCTACTGTACTACATTTGAAACCATTGGTGCCTTTAAATTAATTAATGCTCGTCTTTATGTCCCTCGAACATGCAGGCCGAACAAGGCGGCCTTACTAATTTAATTTTGTGTTTAATAGTCCCAAACTTATGCTAGAGACTTGCTACTACTAAGCTCATTATCCTATTCGAATTTAGCCAAAATTTAACCTCCCCTTAAAAAAACTATGCTATCCAAAACAAGGCCTGAGAGAAAAGCTTATAAAATTTAATCCTCTCTTATCGCCTATCACTTTAAAAGAATCACCAAACACAAGCTAAGGGCCTTTACACATGCCTTTGGTGTAGCTTGGAAATTTAAAACACTTGTTCCATGTCATAACTTGTCAAAACAGTAGCATTTAAATCCGAGTCAAAAAATTTTTAACTTGTCCAAACAGGGGAAAAGAATTAAAGTTCACAAAGCTAATGCTTTGACATTCCTATTGCCCATCTAATCACTATATAGAAGCCACCAGACTGTTTACATATGTAGTTCGTCCACTTTTAAAGTTTTGGACAGCCTTAGCTTCCCTTTACATCTTAAAATTTTCCAGATTCATAAACTCTTAAAGATTGATTGAGGGGTTTAGGCTTTATATTCATCCAACTTAATTCTCTCTATTCCAATTACTTTGATCGAACAAGGGAAGAGAATAAAACTTGTTTTAACCACTTCACCTCACCCATATTTTACCTTGAAGCCTTTAGGTTTACTATATTTTAGTTCCCATTTAAATATAAATTTAGTACGTAATTAAACATTATAGCATTGGGAAAATTTCTGGCCCTGAATTTCAGATTTCAGCTCCCTTAAGAGAAGTCAAATAAATACTCCCCTAAAACAGAAACTCCAGGTTCAAAAATCCACTTCTTCTCACACAAATCAACATGCATGGAATAAAATCAACGCCCACAAGCTTTAATCCATCATATAAATGATTTTTATAGCTTAATGCATGCGTCCCTCACTTTCTCTCCCTCTGAAAACCAGATTTAAACCTCCATGTACTTGCAAAACACAACCACTGGAAAAAATTATTGATGCAATAAGGTTTAAGTTCCTTATATATCCTGGTCTAAATGTTCAGTTCCAAGTGAAATTGCCATTGTACCCATCACTATCAGTACTATTATAGTTTGTTCTCTACTTTTAGAGACTTCTCTCTAATTTTTGGGCATTTTTTCACTATTATAGTTTGTTCTATATTTTCTCTTATTTACACTTTTGCCCCTAAACTCACTATATTTTTGGACTTTTAGGTCAACTATCTTATTTAACCGATATTCAAAATTCAAATATTACAATTACTACTAAATATTTTAGCTAATTTATTAATTCTTTTTCATGCAGAATAATTAGAATTGATTTTAGAACGGTATCACCAAAACCAACATTAATTTTCTTTTATTTATAAATTTTTATTCTTTACTTTTTTTCTCTATTACACAATAATTTTCTTTCTTTACTTTAAAGTTGTCATATGAACTTTAACATATAATTTGAAGGGGATAAAATTTGAGGGGGGGGGAGGGCTCAGGTCAATATTTATTATGCCAAGTTCTTCAATCATATATGGCCATGTGCCCTTTTGTGTTTCATGTGGATTTATAACTAGATGTTAATATTTCACAAAATAAGATACATGGTCATGTGTGGACACAATGGATATAAGAAACTTGATGGGAGTATTGTCCTTTAAAATGCCAACAAGAAACTCTTAACACACATAAATATTGTGTGTGTGTGTGTGTGTTTTTTTTTTTTTTTTACCTCCAAATTTTTTAATGAATTTGACATGCACTAGGCAAAGTTATATCTGTAGTGCTGGCTATGCAGAAAAAATATTGAAGTTGATGAGCATGATATCTAAAATGTGTCAAAAGAACATATCATCATCATCCACTGAATAATTATTTTTGCTATGCTGAATAATGAAGAAGAAAGGAATCCTAGTGTTAATGAATTCAACGTTTGAAACCTTTTTTCTTATCTTCTGCTATATATGAAGCAACAAAGAAAATTATTGAAGAAGGTCTAAGACCAAACTTGCAAAAAACAAAAATGTTTAAGACTTATTTGTTAACCAATCTCTTTAAATATTAGTTCTATACATTGTGGTGTTGGTCAGGGTACAAAGAAAACAGCTACACTAATTTATCATCTTTGTTTTATATGACCACTGGTTTCCAATAGAAGGTGCCAGTTCATGCAAGTCCCAACCTCACTGTTCTTCCTGTAAGAGATAACACTCATGCAAGTGCTAAAATACTTGAAGAGGAAGAGGAAGAGGAAGGTAAAATGTTGATTTGTTGGTTTTGTATTAGAAAAATACTAGTTATTTATTTTATGGGTTTACAGACAGCTTGATAACATCCCGACGTCCCCGAAATGGCAAGAAAGTTAGCAGTTCTTTACTACAAAAAAAGCTTGAAAACTCTACTGATGGTACTTGCTGTTTTCTTTAAATGAAATCTTTAATTAATTTCTTCCTTTGATTTGACATAATAATCATTTTTTCATAGGTGACCAATGTGTGCCCCCAGAAACAACTGTTTTGAGTGAACAAACTTCAACAAGCCTTAACCAAACTCCTTCATCTGTTATCCCCAAGCATTCTGATGGTAAGTTTCTTTGCTGTCTTGCCAATCATTGTAGTGTCAGACTTGCCAAAACTATATATGAAGACTACCTTATCAAGCAAAGACAGATGTTACTATAAGAAGTGCCATTGACCTCATAGAAGATTCTAGTCTATGCTCTAGTGATTCTACTCATTGCACATATCTGAACTTTACTTTATTCAATTAATATTTTTAATTTCCATTCTACTATCACTTCATTAATTTAAGGGATATATTTAAAATGTTGAAACTACTAACTAGTGAACTCCAATATTGTAGATTATGTTGAAGTTTGTGATAAGTCTCATCCGCATTCAAACTCTTCATTCGAAGGTGTTGACGGCGGGGAAAACAAGGAAGCAGGTATGGTTCAAAATGAATCTATGTCGAATGTTGAAATAAGTAACCCAGCACAAAGGGAACAAGAGTCGTCACATTCTAAAGGTTATTAACCTACTTCCTTTATTGTCGAACATATAAAACATAAGTGAACTTGAATCTTCTTTCCTGTGATCCGTGTGAGTACTTTCGATTCTGCATAGTTGATTTCATTATCTTCATTTTCTAATGCGATGGTCTTTTTCCGGGCCAAATTCAAACAATAAATCAATTGACAGATTCGCAACCAAGAAGAGCAATGCCAGCAACACTTTTTGTTAATATTTCCAAAGAAGAATCCTCAAAGGTAGTACTATTGCTATTTCTTCATACATAAAGATTATAGGTTTTGCTTTATATTTCTATCTACCTGGTTCTACTACTATTAGATGAGATTCATGTATTGCCATATAAGTACTAAGTAACTATCATAAAGGCGTTTTTTGCATTTACATAGATTGAAACTCAAGATTTTGTATTTAAGAGACCTTAATTTCTTTGACTAAGATCAACATCTGCGGGCTTAAGATACACAAATTTATTCTAGATAAAATGGAGTTATCCCACTTTCTTATGCACAGCTAAAATGAATTCTCATTCTGTCCACAAGGAAACTAAATTTGACATACAATCTAAAGAAATTAAAACAACTTAAAAGTTCATTAAGGATTATATTTATGATGGTTTATCATCTCAGAAGAAAGCAACTTAAATATCTTTGGTGATATACAGATTGTTGAAGTAAGAGCCGAAGATGGTGCTTCAATATTAGAGACCCCACATCCAAGTTCCTTAACTTCTAAAAAGGTTTGCCTCTTCCAACAATTTTACAATTTAATATATGTTATTCCTATATTAACAATTATGAATGGTTTATTGTACAAGGAACCAATTCCTGTGAGCCCCAATACCACTATTCTCCCCAGAAGCCCAAGCACAACTGCCAAAAATTTTGAAGAGGAAGAGAAAGGTAAGATGATAGTGTCCAAAATTTCAAGATTTATAGCTCCTTTAGTTACTTATCTTAGGCAGCGAATTCTTTGCCAGTAGGAAAAGAGCACAAGACTTTTGATCATGGTATTTGTGGCTTTCCTAAAATGAAATATTTCTCACTGTGATTTACTAACTATATATTTATATACTTCATTGACTTGGTATAGGTGACCCCTTTGTGCCACCAATGCCAATTATTTCAAGTGAGCAGCAAGCTTCTGAGACAATAAGTCCTATACCATCAAAAGCTCTAATGAGTCCCAAGCAAACTTCCATGTCCACTCCCTCTGAGACTTCTTATGGTGAGTTTTTTTGTTGTCTTATTTTACTAACTTACCTTTCACTACTTTATCATTTTGTAATTTTAGAAAGATGTCATATTCTAATTGTTTCATCCAGGAAGAAAGATCCAAGAGAATGTTGGAACCATCGACCAGCGTTTGCATGAAACTTTGGGTGCTATTCAAATTTCTAGTAAGTCTTGTGTCCTTACCATTACATGTTTGCATTTGTTATACTTGACTCCTTCATTGAATATGAGTAGTTTGATTCTCCAAGCTTGCTTTTATTTTAACTCACCTGCTAATTTGCTGGTTTTGGTAGGTCAACTTGCTGAATGTGGTTCATCACACATGGCTCCTTCTATTTATGACACCAATAATAATTTAAGTGTTCATGGGATAAAAGAGATAGCTGATATGATGAAATTAGAGGGTGCTGAGCCTTTCATGCTAGCAGAAGCATTCCGGACTCATCCACAACTTCATCTTTCTTCAGAGGATCGAAGCACTGAGTTGTTATGCTATTCATATAGGGTGCTACTAAATATTTTGAACATTCTGGCCACTAGGAGCCCCTCCACAATCACTGAAGCAGACAAGATATTGTTGGCAAAGCATTTAAAGGATGCTTCTGTTCTAGGATTTGACAAGGATTGGCTTGAGTCAGTTAGGGACAGGGTTTCCAATTGTGATGCATCAGAACTCCATCGCATGCAACAAGCTTTGAAGGGTTTAGGCAATAAGCTCCAAGCCAATAAGATAGAGCTTGCAAATATTCGAGACCAGGAGGCGAAAGCAGCAAAATTGGTAGAAATGACTCAGAGAGAGTTGGAGGCCACACATAAAGAATTAGAGGCAGCATATAAAGGGTTGGAAGCAGCTCAATCCCATTTTAATGTCGCACAACAAGAACATGCAAACATTAGAGCACGTTATTCTCATCTCTTAGAAGAATGCCAGGAAATTTCAGAACAACAGTATCAATGTTCAGAAAATATTGCTGCCAAATTCAGGCCTTTCGGCTTCTAACATGGGTGCCATTTGAAACTTTATTATTGCCGTTTCAATTAAGGGTCATTGTCGTACCTTTATTTCAAATAAAAAATAAAAGTAATACTCTCATGGACATTGTAATATTACCGTACCTTTATTTTGCACAAGGATCGTGCATGACGTTACAGACTTGTTGTACCTAAGGGTTATTTTCCTTGTTAAGACCTTACATCTCTGTGTCTGGTTTCTAGATGTGTTTATCTTCACCCATTTGCTACTAGTCAAATTGAATATAGTGCATCAACTGCATATATGATAAGGCATAATTAAGTACTTTGCCCGACACTGACACATAATATGTTAACATCAGTGTCATATATAATTGTCAAAGGGATGCTGCATCTCATTGTTTAACTTATGGCTCTACACATTTTCTGATTACATGTTTGAATTTTTAACTCCAGACCTCTAACTGAATCTCATCCAACTTATCATTCAAGCTATCCTCAATAACATTTTAAACTGATTTATTTTAGAATTATCAAGGACATTTATTATAGATTTAAAATTTATTCCAATGTTGAAAGAACTACATATATCATGGTGTGAAGAATTAGTTAACATTGTTGAAGAAGACAATGGAACAAAGGATGATGATCATTTGCGCCATGAGCCATGCTTTCCCAACTTAGAACAAGTCTCTGTCTTGTCTTGTGGCAAATTGAAGTACCTGTTTTCTATCAGAAGACAAGATGAGATGAAAGAGATGGTCATGAAGGATGTGCTTCCACAACTAAGTCAATTGAAACTATGGCTTCTTCCCAAACTTGTTAGCATCTGCCATGGGATTGATTTTCAAACTGTGAGAGAAAATGATAAGACGAGCGTGATTGATTGTCCCAACTTTTCTTTTTATGGTATGCATTGAGAAAAGTAATTTGTTCTTTAGAATTGAAAATTATTATGAGTTTTATTATAACACTGACAATCTCTTAATCTCAGAAACTTCAACTACCCATTTTCAAGCAAGCTCTGAAACAATATATTCTCAAGTTGAAGAAAAAGCAGAGGAGAAGCTTTCATCTCATTTGAGTACCGAAAAATCTTTAAATACGGGAGAAGCAACACAACAACCCCTCACAAAGGTATGATTCTGATTGCTAATGGCATCATTTTACTGCTTCTTCAATGGTCCCGCATCAATGATTATATGCATGGTTGATCGTTTTCAATTTGTAGCAATGCTCTGGAAATTCTGTCCCTTTTATGAGAAAAACAGAGTTTGAAGATTATAGTTAAAATGCCAACAATATACCCACACGCGAGCAGACACCAGAGAGCGTGTTCCTCTTCCAATTGCTTAATAAATATGACATAAACTTTAAAAAAAAAAAACAGGCCATGTAGTTTTTGGACAGGGCATTGAAGAAGCAATACGTTCCCCTGTCATAAGCTTGTTATTTTAAAAAAACCAAGAGACATCATCATTATCATTAGATTTTTTTTTTTTTGGGTTACATCAATTGATTCTTATTTTATAAGGTGATAACCTTTAAGATTTATTTTAACCTTATTAAAGAGTGGATTGGAAATTTGAAATAAAAAATTCATAAATAATAATATTTCTTTTAGTAAATGAAACAAACAAAGTTACTGTCAAAACTTATTGTAGGGTCACTAATTAAATTAAAGATATGACCCCTTAGAATCCCCAAAAAACTTCACCCAAAAAAAAAATCCAAAGAAACAAAAATTAGAAACCTTTTCTCTAAAAACTTTAGGTTCTATCACCTATATTATTGGGATGAGATTTTCTGAAATACTTTAAAAATCCATACCCAATTCAATATAGCTCCAAAAATAGTAGTTCAAAGCTCTAACTTTAGCTCTTGAAAAGCCTTCCGCTCTAAGTAATTCTTAACTTTTCCCCCATACCATACTATATTTGAAATCATTGGAGCCTTTAAATTAATTAATGTTCATCTTCGGATGTCCCTCAAGCATGCTGGCCGAACAAGGCCTTACTAATTTAAAAACTGTTTAATAGTCCCAAACTTATGCTACAGATCAGCTTCTCCACAAAGGTCTCTGCTAAGCTTATCATCATATTCAAATTTAACAGATAATTAACTTCCTCTCACTAAAACAGGGCCTTAAGAGAAAAGCTTTAAAATGTAATCCCTTTTGTTGCCAATCACTTTAAAAGACCCACCAAACACAAGCTTTTAGATACGTCTTTGTTTTTTTGGGCTACAAGGGATAGGATCGAACCCGCAACGCACACACCTCACACACACACATACCACTCGGCCAAACGGCCAGTGGTTTTTAACAAGGAACAAAAAACCGGACCGGACACTAAACAGGTTGAGGTAGTGGTTCAAGGGTTAATAGGTCAGATCGGGGTCAACTCGAGATCAAACCGGTCATATTAAAATAATATAATTTAATTAAAAATGACAAAATATAACAATACTAATAATTACTAATAACAAAATATAAAGAAATACAATAAGAATTTGATTGTAATAATAATAAAGTACAACAATATTGAGAATTTTGATCTTTATAATTTTTCAATAACTAAAATTAATAGTTATTGATATCAAACTCATCATTAAAATTCATTTAAATCTATAATAATTGAGATATTAGGAGTTAAATAAGAAAAAATTGGATAAATATCAATATATTTATTTAAACCGATTCATTGCCGGCCGGTTTTCACTGGTTCACACCGGTTTAATCGGTTCGATCCGGTTTGAACCGGCCAGTCCGGTCCGGTTTTTTTTACACTGGTTTTTAGACACCCCTTTGGTATGGTTTGGGAATTTAAAACATTTGCTCCTTGTCATCATATGTCAAAACAGTAGCATTTAAATCTCTCTGAGCCACAAAATTTTTAATTCAATAAACATCTAAACGGTGCTGTCCAAAGAGGGGATAAGAAGTAAAGTTTACATTTTAAAATTTTCCAGATTCATAAACTCCTCTTTTAAACACGTTAAGGGGTTTAGACTTTAGATTCAACCAAACCTAATTCTCTCTTTTCCAATTAATTTGACCGAAGAAGGGAGGAGAATAAAACTTGGTTTAAATTCTACCTTGAAGCCTTTAGGTGTATGCTATATTTTAGTTCCCACTTAAATTCTTTAATTTCTTTGAATCCTCACCGGAAATAGGCTTTTTGACCAATGGTTCATATTTGAGACATTTAAATTTTACATAATATTTGTAAGACTCAAATATGCTTTGGAAATCTCTTTTATACATTTTGAGACTTCTCTTTGATTCTCCCTATTCCAACTACTTAAATATAAATTTAGTACATAATTAAACATTACAACACTGGCAAAAATTCAGCTTTCCAATTCCAGATTTCAGATCCCATAGGAAAATTCAAATAATACTCTCGTGAAACAGAGACTCTAGATACAAAAGTCCACCTCTTCTCACACAAAATCAACTCACAATCCTTAATCCATCTTCTAAGTATGATTTAAACCGCTCATCCATATTGCAAGCTTACCTCATGAGCTTCTCATTTTGGCATTTCATGAATCCCAACCCAACAAATCTGATGCTCTTCTTTTCGGACTTAGTGCACCATGTGTGGAGTACCTTTTACTTTGGGTTTGGCATAATGAAATTTCCTTTTCAGGCTTGAGATAATGAAATTGCCGCTGTGCCCGTCACTATCAGCACTAGATTTTCCCAATAAATTTTAAAAATTAATCTGGGACACAATTTATGAAGATTTATTTATTTTAGTTCTCTGGCTACAAAAGTAATTTTTTTCCCCTCGAATTTTTATGCTGAACATTAGTCTCGAACTATTTGTAATTCAATTTTTGAAAAAATAGACCCTTATTATCCATAAATTAGTTTTAAAATTATTAAGTCATTTTTGAAAAATATAAGCCTCCTCATAATATTTCTAAATTCTCAAAATAATAGTTGATAACATTTTTCCCAATAGTCCTAGTCCTTGAATAATTTTAATCATTATTTTTCTTTTTATTTCCTTAAATTCTGATACAAAGTAAGCTTTTTGACCGTTATATAATTCATTTTTGAGACATTTAAATTTTAAATAGGGACAAAGTATTCATTTAATCCTTTAAATTTATACATAATTTTAATTTAATCCCTTAACTTTAAAAAGTATACTTTTAATTTTTTTAATCCTAAAATTGTTAACAAAAAATAATGGCATTAATATCTTAAATGTTGATAAAAGAATTCTCAAATGTTAACAATTTAACATATTAATTTTTAAAACAACTATAATTTTTACAAAAAATCATCATATAAGCCTAATGATTTTTCAGTTAAAAGATAAAATATACTTTTTAAAGTTAAGGGATCAAATTGAAACATTATATAAAATTAAAAGACTAAATATATATTTTAACTTTTAAATAATGTCCCCAAACCTCAAATATGCTTTCAAAATCTTTTTTCCACTTTTGGAAACTTCCCTCTAATTTTTGGACATTTTTTCACAATTATATTGTTGCTCTATATTTTCTCTTATTTACAGTTTTGCTCTTAGATTCACTATATTTTTTAAATTTTAGGTCAACTTAACTTGTTTAATCAGTATTCAAAATTCAAATTTTACAATTACTGCTACATATTAGCTAATAAATTAATTCTTTTTCATGGAGAATAATTAGAACTGATTGAAAAAAGGTATCAGCAAAAGTGGGATTAATTGTCTTTTTTAGTTGTAGAATTTTATTCTTTATTTATGTCTCTATTATACAACAATGTTCTTTTTTGTGCTTTAAAATTGTCATATGAACCCAATTGTGTTCTCTTTGGTATACGAAAATTGTCATGCCAACTATAATCTCTGATACCCATAAATGTAGTTAGCTAGTTACAGCGTGCGCGCGTGCGTGAATTTTTAATGCTTTTGGCATGAGCTTTGCAGAGACGATATTGTAGCTGTTGATGAGCATTTCAAAAGAACACAGTGTCATCATCTGAATCATTATTTTTAATTTATGCTAAATAATGAAGAAGAAGGGAACCCAACATTGTATAACTTTTTTTTTTTAATCTTGTACTGTTTATGAACCAACAAAGAAAACTATTGAAGAGGGTATAACATTAAAATTGCGAAAAAAATGGCAATTTTATCATTGGACTCAAAAAAAAATTTTAAGACTTATTTCTTAGCCAATCTCTGTAAAGCTTCTTTTTATATATTGGGGTGTTTGTTAGAGTACCAAAAAAAAAAAAACTAGACCAATTTATCATCTTTGTTTTATATGGCCGTTGGTTTCTAATAGGATGCACCATCTCATACAAGTCCGAACCTCAATGTTCTTCCTACAAGAGACAACACTCATGCAAGTGCCAAAAGTTTTGAAGAGAAAGAAGAAGAAGAGGGAGGTAAAATATTTATGTTAGTTTTGTAAAAAATACTGGTTATTTATTTTAGGTTTTACAGATAGCTTGATAACATCTCAACGTACTCGAAGTGGCATGAAGTCTAGTAGTTCTTTACCAGAGGAGAAGCCTAAAACCTCTATTGATGGTACTTAATGCTTTCTCTAAATGAGGTATTTCATCCTTTGGTTTGATATAATAACCAGTAAACCCCTAATGTTGCAGATGATGCTCAAGTTTCTGACAAATCCCTTGCCCATGCCATTGTCTCAAGTGGAAGTGATAATTTAAGAGTTGATCCAGGTGACCTAACACATAAAAAGAAGACTATTATTTAAATATATTTACACTCACACATGAAAAGTACATCATGTCAATTTTAATATAAAAAACTGGAAAAATCTTCCATCATACATGATTGTTCCAATTTTTCTTTTTATGGTATGCATTCAGAGAAGTTAGTCATTAATCCAAATTGAAAATTATTATGTGTTTGCAGAAATTACAACTACTCAGCTTTCTAATCACTCTCAAAATCAAGATTCTGAAGTTGGGGAAGAGGCAGAGCATAATCTTTCTCCCCATTCAAATGGAAGACAAGCCATGGAATCACAACAATCCACAACTGGTTCCTCAAATTTCACAATAGTATATCTCATTTCACTGCATTATATATACACATATATTATTTTTGTTAAAGGCATTTTATTACGTTCACTTGTCACTAGCATGATTATATCCACAAACTTAATTTAGTCGTATGCTGCCATTCACTGTTACGAACACATTCATTTTCTTTCTCTGTTTCAAAGTTATTTTGAGCCAAAACATGATTTATTTTACCATAAATGTCATAAGAAAATCACTATGTCTTAACTTATTATCTCTTTATTTGTTTGTTTGTTTTATGTCTATTTGGGGTGTTAAGCAAGAAAATTACTATAAAGTTAAACATATCTCTTTTCATATAGAACACTTAAACAATAGGTAAAGAAGAAATATTTAATAGGTCTATGACAACACAACAGATGGCCTGTAAATTACCATAACATATTGATATGTAAGTAGGACCTATTGTAATTATTTTCTTTAGTTGAAATTTTTCCATATTTTCCCTTTATATTTATTTGAGCCATTGGTCAAAATAACCATAAAAAACTAGCTGAGAACAACATTTCTAATAAAGCTACTACAAAATGCAAACTAATTCTTTTTTTTTTTTTTTTGCAGAATGATAAAGAAGAGAATCCAAGTCTTTTGAATAGAACTGATTCGCAAAAGACATATTTAAAAGTGAGATTATTTATCCTCTACTTGTAAATTATTATTCTTTATCCATGCTATACATGGCTCAAACTTTCGGCTTTCATGTATCCCTCACACAGGATGAGCTGGGGACCAAAGAGAAAAAAGAAACAATTATGATGGAACCACAATCACAACAAGAAACAACAATATATGATATACAATCCCATGACAAAAAGGAAGAGGGAAGAAAAGGTAAAATATTACCCTCTCTAGTCTTAAATGTAAAGTTTAATAACTAATTCATGTATACTAAGAAAAGTAGTTATGTTGATTATTTATAAAAAAAAAAATTTCCTAAATATCGTTACTTTTAATCATTTATATAAAAAATTACCCTTGTTGATTGCAACCTAGTCAATCAAGGTAGTTTGTGAGAAAAATGACAAATGTTTGACACATATAGAAGGTTGAATTTTATATTTAAGATTAAAGCAATTTTCTCAATTAACTCCAAAAGCAAAAGGAGTAGCGCCTTGTCTTGCATGCAAATATATCATCCATTGCTTATTTTTGGCTTCACAGGTGGCTTGATAACTTTACCACATCATCAAAGCGAGGTAAAAGTAAAGAGATCTTTATTGAAAGAGAAGCCTGAGAATTCCGTTCATGATGGGACAAAGTCAAATGTTGTTGAGGATGCAAAGTTGCCATTGTCACCATTTTCTACAGCTATAGAGATGATGCCTTCTCTTCCGGAAGCCAATAATCAAGCTTCAACTATTTCTAGAGTACAAGAAATAGTCGATATGATGAAGTTGGAGGGTTTTGAGCATTTAATATTTGCAAAGGCACTTGAGACTCACCCACAACTTCACTTCTACAAAAGATCGAAGCGCTCGAGTGTTACACATGTCCTACAGGGTATTGCTTGATATCTTGAACATTCTAACCACCAGGACTCCTTTCACTATCACCGAGGCAGACAAGAGGATGCTGGCTGAGCATTTGAAGGATGCTTATCTTTTGGGTTTTGACAAGGATTGGATTGAGTCTATAAAGAATAAGGTTTTTTATGGTGAGATATGTGAAGTTGATAGCATCCAAAATGTTCTAGGGGGTTTAGACAATGATCTGCGGAGCAATGAGGCAATGCTTGAAGCTATTCGTGATGAGGAAGTTGAGGCTGCAAGAGCTGCACAAGTGGCTCAACAAGAGCATGCCAATGTTATGGCTCGTCATGCTCATCTTCTAAAAGAACGTCAAGATATCATAGAACGAAGGCAACAATGTTGGGAGATAATTGCTGCTAAACATAGGCCTTTTGGATTTTAGCAACTATTTGTGTGCTTCATGCTGTTCTATTTTATTTTCACGAAAGACTGATTACTGCTATAGACAATGAAACACATAAGAATTAGTTACAGTTCAAGTCTGGGTTTTTCTCCAGTGAGATTTCTCCTAGTTCTTGCATAATCACTTGTCTAAATGTGGACTCCTGATGTGGAGTGGACAGAAAATTTGATGCTGGTGTTTCTTTTATGAGAATAATACTGTTGTTTCTGAACATATATCGCTTGATCAAGCAAAGCTACTCGTATGCTACACTACTTGCCTCACTATTTTCGTTCAAGAGTCTATCTTATGAATTATAAATTGATTAATTATTTCCAGAAGAAAAAGGATTTATAATTGAAATGAATTGATACTACTGTTACATTTTCTCAAAGTTGCAGAAACTAAAAATCAGGGAGTGCAAAGGCTTGGAAATTTTATTTCCATCAACAATACTTAGAGAAATTAAAACCTTAAGGTCTGGGCCTGTCAAAGATGCTCCTGAACTAATATATATTGTGGGGGAAATACCATCGTGAGGATGTTTCAGCAAAACAGAATCAACATGATGAACTGCACTTTGATCTTCCTGCTTTGGAGCTCCTCTGATCTCACACGACTCAATACCGGCTTTCCAAAACTGAAGCTATCATAAAGACCATTTATGTGACGATAACCAAAGTATGAGAACTTGCATTGATTTTTTGGTTAAAAAAAAAAAAACTGAACTTGCATTGATTTCCCTGCTCTAGAAAGACTACATATTGGGGGTTGCCAAATCATGTTATCTCTCAAGTCCATTAAATAAGATGATATTTCTTTTATGTTTAGTATCAGATGTTTCAATGATTTTATGGTTTGTGATCATGAAACACCACAGGACTACACAACCATGAAGGTATGACTCTGTTTTTACAAAAATGTTATTTCTGAGATGCCAAAAATGATAAAGTTATAATCTAATTAAAGATCAACTAGTATTTGATCGCTAATCTCATCACTTTGTGGTTCTCTTTACGTCTACTAGGATGTTGGTTGGAGCACGCGAAAAATACTAAAAGAAATTTCGTTCAATAAAAACAATGTGAAAAAAATTTATTACTGCATACACACTCTATCGTCTCTGTTTTACATTTGCCTTTTGAATTAACTGATCAATACACACTTTCTTTTTTGAAGTTATTTTGTGATGAGATGGTTTATTTTAATTAAAAGTTTGCAGGAAACATTTTTTCTAATGACATTCTTTTACTATTTCGCCAAAAGATTATACATACAATACAGGCCTGTATTAGTGGCAGCCAATCTCTACTGCGTTATTGTTTTCTCTCTGTCTTAATAAAGTCTACTAAAAGCCAGTTTAACATTTCCTTCATATTTTTCTGATTGAATTTGAGTAGATTTCATATAATATGTTCATCTCATTCAGGTGCAACAAAGTCAGAAATCGTCTTCTAATGTATTGACTGCACCTCCTTTTGCTGAGACCGATCAAGCTCTCAGTGTTGCTGGGCTGCAAGAGATCGTTTATATGATCAAATTAGAAAAGGCAATCAAAGTCAAGACTCACTCACAACTTTTGTCTACAAATGATCCAAGCACTCAATAAATCCGTTCTCATGTTCTAATTATCTTAAAAAGTGCTAAACCTATGTCTTTCCCCTGTTCTTGATGGGATACTGAGAATGGCATCATACAAGTGAGCGAGGCAAATTCATCGAACACAAAAAGGGCATTATGGTGACCTCAACGTCATGTGAGGATGATATCTTTAATTCTTTACATTGCATCCATAAAACCATTATTTTTGGTGAAAAGGATTTTCTTACTCTTTTTTTTTTGGTGAAAATGTCAATTCATTCCATAAAATCAGAATACTTACTTACACGAATAGGAGAGAAAGTATTCCTCGACATTTATTACAAAATCTATATTGTGGAAAGGGAAAAAAAAACATTTACAACATATGCAACGAAGGAAAATAGCTTATGCCAATCATATAATTTGGTGGTATTACTGTTCGTCCAAGATTAAGAGGTTAGTTCGACTATATTTGTAACTCTAAGATTTCTCTCTTTCTAAGTTTCCATGCTTGAAAAGGTTCATAACATGGCACATTTTGCTTGGACCATCAGTTTTTTTACGCAAAATATCCCCAATTAATTATAAAATTTTCACATTAATTAAACAACCTCTTCCAATTGATGACTTTTATTGAGGACAATTTTGATATTTTTCAAGAAATAACTATTTTCAGTTAACTTTCTCAGTTTATGTAAATTTATTAATAAATGCTTATAAATAGTATCATAGGAGCATTTTTTATTTTCAATGGAAGTCTTAGTTACCAAAAGGTTGGAAAAAAAAAAGGACTATTGTTTAAAGAAGCAAGGGATATAAAGTTGACCCCTTTTTTAACTCCTCTATTGCATGCCCATTGTTTGGGAACATATGGTTTGGGGTGGGTGATGAGCCGGCAGAATTTTACTTTTTTTTTTTTTTCATTTTTTACTATATTAAGAAGTGTTTAAATTCTTTATTTTACCTCATTTTCCACGTGTTTCCATATCATATTAAAAAATATTTGAGGCATGAATGATTGAACTTATTTTCCCCCCAATTCTCAGAATGAGGCAAATATCTTAAATTATTTTAGGATCACTTAACTACAGCTGATATATATAGATATATATATATATATTAATTGTTTACTTTTGAATATTAAGTATTGAATTATTATCATTATTATTATTCAAACAACAAAGAAAGCTCTGTTCACTTGCTTTAAAACAGAGCAAGGTAAGATCAATGCGTGATGTTTATATTATAAATGATTTAGTTGGAGATTGAATTTGGTTATAAATATAAAATCACAATCCATTTTATCTCTCAAATTTATAATTTTTTTCAAAATATTTCTATTTATTTTAAGAGTTCTCACCAAAAGATAGTTTCAATGCACATGACTAAAAAGATAGTTTAGCATAGTCAACACATATTTGTCATAATTAATCAACTTAATTATTTTTTTTAATATTTTCAAATTAGTTATCTAGCTATTGTATTAAGGACAAGAGATAGTAAAAATTTTTTATGGCACCTCTAGATGCAATGTCATTCATGATTTTTATACATATAACTATGTCATATCTAATATTATTGAGTTAGTTTTGAGTAATATTATATCTGATTGGAAGTAATATTTTAGAATATTAGATATGCCTTAAAAATTATCCTAGAGTGCTAGATACAGCTTAACTCTATATTAGTATATTATTTTCATCTAACTTTTTGGGTTACATCTTACACCATGATAACTTGGCGTAAAGCTAGAATAAAAACCAGGGATGGAAATGAAGGTGAAACTTTTTAAGAGAATAATTTGTTGTATTGGCATGACTGTCATGAATGAAAATACATTCTAATTATTATGTTTAATTTATAGCGTGCTATACTGTTATTTTACAAGCAGTCTTGAAGAAGAAAATAGGAAAATTTATAGTAGAGGATCCAAAAATTATAATTATATTGAAAGAACAAAATATTGCAAATTGACCACTATACCCTCCTCTTAATAATATCACAGTATTTCGTTTTGTTTTTTTATTTTCTTATTTTCCCTCAATTGGTCCCCACCTTTTTTTTCTTTGGCCATCTACTCTTCGTCCCTTCCGAACCTATATGCGTCTCCTTTTATAAGGAGCGACGACTTGCCAGCAATGACCCTATTAAACTGCTGGCAGCCACTTCGCTTTAGGCAAGGACGCAGATGAGACGTATCAAAGAGATATGCTTTAACAATTTTTTAATTTTATTTTTATTTAATATATATTATTTTCATAAAAACAAAGTTTATACTATATAATAATAAATAAAAATTAAAATTATTTATTGATATGAAAAATTTAATAAAGTGATTTATAAATAGTATAATTTTTTTACGTTATAAATAGAATTAGAAGAGTATTTTTCTGAATTATAATACTGTTTATAAGATAGAGGTAATGTATTTTTTAGTCTTATTTATTATTAATTTTTTTATATGACCCTACAATTGTTCCATTTGTTTATTATTATAGGAAAAATGTTACTAAAATATAGAGTGCATATTAAACAGAATACAGCTCAAAAGTCATTAAATTTTAATACATGGTCAATCAGTTTTAAAATATAAAAGTGTCTTGTAAATAGCATCAGGGAGTAATTATTGAGGTATCTAATTCCACATAGGACAGACATATAGGAAGACTTCGAAGTTGACTTGATTTTTTAAAAAGAAAAGAAAAGAAAATCATTTCATCTCTTTGAAACAAAGTCATTCTATCAGTTTGCCTTTCATTGCTCAAACAAAGTCTTCTTTACAACTTCATTGCTCCTTTTTTCCTAAGGTTTTGTTTGGTTTGGAGAGTTGTTGAGGGGAGGGGAGGAGAGGAGAGGAGAGAAGAGGGGACAAGTGTATTTGGTTGGGAAAAATAAAGGGAAGGGGAGGAGAGAAATTTGTCTTTTAGTGCTCTCCTCCCCTCCCCATGCTCCCCTCCAAATTTGGGGCTTTTTGGAAGGAAGAGAAATATTATGTCTAATATTAACCAAACTACCCATATTAATTTTTCAATATTTTAAGTTTGTCCATCTTATTAAAAATCTTTTTTTCACTTCTTTCTCTTTTTAGCCACTAATAATATTTGATAATGATAATATAATATTATAATTATATAATATATGCATATCATATATATTAATATATGCATATCATAATATGTGTGTATTATAATTATATATGATAACGTGTGTGTATTATAATCTCATATAACATGCATATATATTAATATATATATATATATATCATAACGTGCGTGTCATAATCTTTTTTTAGTTTTATCATTTTTTTATCTCATGTAAGTGAGGTAATTGGTTTTTTTTAAATTGATAAATTAAGAAATAATAATTTTGATATAAATATTGTAATAAAAAATAAATTAGTCTAAATACAGAGATAAATA